CTCCCGCCTCCCTCCAAAACCCCAAGCTGAGAGCATGGACCAGACCTCGCGGCGCTGGCATCATGACGCTCGCTCGGTTCTTGCTGGCTGTGATGTTGGGGGCGCTCCCCGAAGTGGCCAGCGTTGATCCGATCCTCAGTTATCCGCCGTGCCTCCGCTACCGCCATTCGCCCCCTGGGGGTGCCCAGTACCCCGACTACCGGACGCCTCCGTCACCCCTGTGCCCCCGGCGGGCAGTCCCTGTCCTGCGCCCACACGCTTTCCAGGCTGGACACTCGCCGCCACCTCACCCCGGTCGCTGCCCCGCTGGGCAGCCCGGGGCCAACGTGACGGACCTGGGCTCCCCGTGTCTGAGATGGGCGGAGGTGCCACCCTTCCTGGAGCGGTCGCCCCCGGCGAGCTGGGCTCAGCTGCGAGGGCAGCGACACAACTTTTGCTGGAACCTGGACGGTGCGAGCAGACCCTGGTGCTTCTATGTGGACGCCCGTGGCCAGGTGGACTGGAGCTATTGCGCCTGCAGACTAGGTGAGTGGCGGCGGGGCAGCGGCGACAAGGTGTGATGCACAGAGCCAGCTGGGTCTGGGGAGACATCGCTGCCTCTTGGATACAGGGGTAAGAGGTGGTGGGCGAGATGCGGGTTTGTCTTGTATAGTGTGCCAGTGGCCACCACGGAATTACCAGTAAAGTATATTGAAATTAGCCAGGTGTGCTTTGTGCTGAGCTCTGGCTTCCTGTATACTTTGTGTTTTCTGGTGTGTGCGTGCGTGTGTGTGTGTGTGTGTGTGTGTTATAAGCACCCAAGCGCTCACGAGTGTGCATGTGTCTTGTGTGGAAGTGTGCTAGTGTATGGTCTCCGGATCACCTTGCCTCCAGGGCGTGGCTATAATTACCTAAAAGATGCAAAGCTAAAACCTAGATAACATTGCTAATCGTTTGTTTTAGAAAGGGAAATATTAAGTGTAACATAACAGTCTGCAGGCAACTTCCTCTAGACGCCGATTTGGAAAAAAAATGTGGCAAAACTTTCGCTGACCTGTATTTGAAAAAGCATGGCAAAATTACCAGGCCAAACTCCAAAGATGTTTACACTGCGGGACACAGTACGCAGATATCATCAGTGAAGGAAGAAGGGGCAAGAAGGAAGAACAGTAACTATCTTAGTAAAGAGGCTTCTTGACATAGGCAAATGAGGTGTCCAACAATGCTACTATTCAGTTGTATATGTTATTCGTGGAAAATCAGAATCAGTTTGCAACAGGAAAATTGCTAAGACGTTTTAGTTTCATGGTAATAAAAGCACCACTAAAAAATACAATGTAAATGAGTAATCTGCATTAAACAGTGCTTCATTTGTAATTGTTGGGTTTTTGTTTAATATTAGGCTTTTTTCTCCTATTAGAGAAGAAAAGCCTTATGTCCTTCAAAGTTTGAATTTCTTTTAAAAATATTGGGAACTTTTCATCTAAGCTGTGGGGCAGGAGTTTAATAAATTGGAATCCTGAAACATATTGCACTATGCCTTTTGGAGGTAGGCTTCCATAACGTCACTGTTTTCCTACATTTTATTTATCTGTGCCTTCAATTGCATTAGTGCTTTGAGCTAAAGGAAAGTGATAGGAAGATGAAGATCCATTGTCCTTCATCCTAGAGAATGAAGTCATCTCTATACTTGTGTTTCATGGACAGAATGTCAATGTGAATAAAAAAGTTTGAGGTGATATCAAGCAAAGAGCCATAGTATTGTCTTATTATTACTTTTGGAAATTATTTGTAGTATTCTCCATTTTATACATAGATAAAGGTGGAGAATTAATAAGGAATAAGTGTATGGGAATTGTATAGAAGTGTACTTTACAAAGGCTTTAAAATTTTAAAACATTACAGTGATCAATTGCTCTTTTTCATACACATAACTATCAGTTTAATATGTCTAATAAGGAGAGTAGCTTATCGTTGGATTCTTTACCACTCAGCCCACCTTGTGGCTAGAAATTTAAATCTTTTCAATGCCTTTGTGTTTACAGGTTATTCTCAGCAGAGAAAACCTCAAATATTGCATAATAGTTGTGTCTAAGGTGGCTGAATAAAAGAGAAACAAAAGCAGCTGCCCACAATGCAGCTAAATGCCCTCCTTCCACCACAGAAAAACAGGGGAGCAATGGCTATGTGATTAATGGATTTCTTTAACAAGCTCAACATTGGCAGCCCAAAGCCTCCTATTCTGTCATTTACTCCTGCAGGTCTGGTTAGGTATAAATCATACCTTTGAGTTGACTGGCATGAATTTGGAAGCTTGTAGCTTTCCTATTCCTACATTTCAGGAGTATGAGCAAAATATTATGGAGTGGTGAAAGAATATTGGATTGCGCTTTAAAAAACATTGGTGCTGTTTTGGCTCTGGATGAGACTCTTAACTCTTACAGCTTTGGTTTTTCTCCTTTGTAGAAAAGCAGTTTTGAACAGATTAATTCAAAGGACTTTTCCAGTTTGGGGGATGTATGGAGCATTTGCTGTGATGCTTGATGGATGAAACATTTATATTATGATTTTTAAATTAATTTTCATAAGGAGTTCCAAGATTTTACTAAATGAGATTCAAAAGGCATTTTACCAGTATTGCAGGAGAAAAATCTGTATGTTTTCACTTTACAGCTCATTTTGCTCTGTTTCTTTTCTTATTTATCATGGAGAAATATCTGTGTTGTGCAACAATCCTCATTTGGTAGCTCAGGGACTAGTCTAAGAGGAAGAGAGAAAAGGAATTATGTTTAGTACAGTGCACATTATTTCCTTTAAATTTTTTTTTCTTTGCAGAAAACCAGAGCAAAAGACAGGAACAATGTATAGTAATGTGATCCTTTAAAAAATAAACTAGTGGTTGGAATAGAGTTTCTAATTGCTTGCAAAGAAATGAGGAAGTTGGTGCCTCCTTGGTGGAGGATTGGTTGAAGCCAACTTGAAGTGTAGGGTGGGGGTTTCAGGTGAGGTGGGCAGAGCATTGATGTTTCAGGTGGTTCATATGTCAGAGAACACAGAAGGTGATGCCTGGACTCTGGCTTTATGAAACTTGCATATAGTACTAAACAATCTTTCTGCAGATTGAAATACTCTGAGTCAGCCCAGGGCGTCTGTTCTTATAATGAACATTAGAGTCACTTGGGGATTTGTTGAAATGCACGTTACTAGGCTCTAGCCTCAAAGCCCTGAGTAGTTCTCATATATGAATCAGGAGCAGGAAATGCATTTCTAAGGGGAAATCAAAGTAATTTAAGTGTTGAAAGCTTTCTTTCACAGTCATGAAAAGTCCATGGGAAGCCATGATAATCTTCCTAGAATGTATTCTGGTGAGTGATGATCTAGTTGAGCCCACCATTCTGTGACTTCACCTTGCTGGCTTAGGAGCGGGTTTAAGAATGCTAATGTCAACTTTTTTGTGGCCTTAGAAAATGGCACCATAATTATTTCATCAGTGTGATATAATAACAGTCTAGTTCACTGGAATACGATCATTAAGTGAATGTGAGCCAGGTTACTTTCACATCTCTATAGGAAGAACTAACTGGCAATTTAACGGCTTTCCCCAACAGGCTACATCATTGCTTCCTGCCTATAAATGGCAATCATTTTTCCAATGTCAGGGTGGCATGCCAGATGGGGCAACCTTCTCAGTACTGTGTTAGGAATGCCCCCTTTTTATAAGCAACCAAGTGAATTCAACCTCAAGCAGCTAATGACTGAAGAGTAACACAATTAGAAAAATGATGAAACTTGAGAGTTTGCCAATAAGAAAATATGTGCTACTCACCTGTTGATTGCTGTGACAAAATACCTAAAATAGAGCTGGGGATCAGTGGTGCTGCTGCCTGCTTTGCAAGTGGAAGGTCTAGAGTTTGATCCCCAGTACCAAAACAACAACAACAATAACAACAACAAAAACCAAACAAAACAAAACAAAAAACCTGAGATAACCAATTTAAAAGGTAGGAAGGTTTATTTTGGCTCATGATTTCAGAGGTTTCAGTCCATAGTTTCTTGACTTCATTGATTTTGGGCCTGTAGTTTGACACGATCAAGGCAATGACACAGCAAAGCTGCTTGTTTCATGGCAGCAAGGAAACAAAGAACAAGGAACTAGGGTCCCAATAACTTCTTCGAGGGCATCTCTTCCCTCCATTACCTAACTTCTTTCTACTAGGCCTCACATACACCAAAGGTTGTACCACTTCCTAGTAGCATCACAAGCTGGTGACCAAGCATTTAGCATGTGCACCTTAGTGGGGGTCACTTAAGAACCAAGCCATAAAAGAATGATGCATAGATCTGGCTTTTTCGTCATGTCATGCTAGTCCCACCCCAAATCTCCTAATTCAGATAGAGATGATGGACGTTTGGTTGAGTACTGCTGTTTAGTAGGCTGTCCACTTTGATGTCCATCTACTGTTTGAAGTGAACATTAATCAAAAAGTTAACTGAAAGCTATCCCACATCTAGACGAATAACATTTGGACCCTGGCTTAGTGGATAGAGCATATTTTTTTGTTTTAGGATGGGCAAATTTGTCTTCAGGCAAATTTATTTCTGAAATAAACAAATTTATAATTTTGGAAAATACCAAAGTTAGTTTAGTTGGTCAGTAAAAATAATTTAACTCTAGTTTTAAAAAATTGTTTTTCCAAATGAATTTATAGGGAAAGAGGTCTTCTGAAATGTCTTTCTTCTGTCTGTACAGAATGCAGACGTTTACTTATGCATTCTATGAAAAACTGCTAGAACTGCTTTCTGTATGGTTGACACACTGATGTTAGAAAACCAAGCAGTGCTGAGTTTTGTTTCTTTCACATTTTACTTTTCCAGGGCAGCCTCCTCTTCTCTCACTCCTTCTTCCTGCCAGTTGGCACAGTATTAATAACATTTTATGATATGCAGGGCTCTAGAGCAATGAGATTGTTTCTACCTAACAAGCCACATACGCACATTCACCCTGAATACTTTTTATTAGGATTACCAAAGGGGACACAAAGAGTGGGAAATACTGCTTCTTGTAAAGAGGCAAGGATACATTTTATGCATTCATTGAACATTTACTGAGTTTGCACTAGGTACAGTGTTTACCAAGGTAAATAAGTAATTGCCTGCAACCCCTACGTCAGGTGGCAGAGGAATAATTAGCATTTTCATTGCCTTTCCTGTATAGTATACGCTTTGGAAGACAGATAAGATTAGTATTCGGTCTGAATTTTATCCCTCGCAGTTGTACAATAAAATAGCAATCCCACACCATTTGTTTATATGTAGATGGTTCCTGAACACACAATTTGTGAAAGTTTCTGCTAGGGTAATATGCATACATTTTCAGTAGACCATAACATATAACCATGGATAAAAATCTTCCTTGGTATGATATCGTGTAATATTTTAAACAAACATATAATTTATAAATCATAAATTTCTAATTAGCATAATGTAGACTGGTAAAATTGCTTAATCATACGATACCCTTGTTTTCAGATTTTTTTCTTTGCATT